CCCGCGGCTTGGGCTGCCCACTCCCGGCGCGGCCTCCTCCCGCACAGCCTGGTCTGCGGCGCCCCCGCCTGGCTTCCCCGGCCGCCGCACCCCGGTGCGCCTACCTCATCGGGCTCCAGCGCTGCACAGTAGCCGCCTGGGCGTGGGGGTGGGAAACAGCTGGAGCGCCCCGGGGAAGCGCGGGCTGGGGTGGAAAGGAACCCAGCAAGGAGGATTACGAGGTTAGCAACTCCGGGAGCTGCTACTGGTCTAGGATCAGGAAGAGCAGCTTCACCGGCACGGACCTGTGCGGTGGGGAACTGGATCCGCAGAGAAACTACGCTGCTGGGGGGATGCCCCGTGAAGTTTGGACCTCTTTGGGTCCCCTCCACTGAACAAAGACTCAGGTGGAAGAGTGTTTCTCAAAGTTTATTGTGCACACGCATGACCCGGGGGTCTGGTTAAAATGAATACCCTGATGGAATGAGGCTGGGGGGAGGCCCAAGGTGTCTGCACGTCTTAACAGGCTCCCAGGTGAGGCGGATGCTCCTCCAGGTGCGGTCCACAGACCAATCGCGTATCAGCTGCGCTTTATTAGAAACTCAGACTCGCAGGCCCCGGCCAGTCTGAGAAATTCGAAATCAGCATTTGAACAGGTGGACGCTTGAGTAGCATTGCTCTGTAAGGCCAATGGCCGGGTGTTACTTCCTCTGTCTTCAGATCATCTGTGTCATGGAGGTGCCTCCACGGTGACCCTCATCTCAAATCCTGCTCTCCACCTTCGTCAGGGGACAGAGTGGCGTCAATAAACCTATGCATTTGAAAACCTCATCTCCACTGGCCCTTTGCAGAGAGACCCTTCCCCTGGCCTCCACAGACCAGGGGGTCTAGAGGCCAAATGCCACTGTGAGGCTTCCTGAATCCTTCCCGGATTAATATCCCTTTCCCCACGTCCCCTCCTACTGCCCAGTATTTTGCTGCCAATTCTATGGCGTTTGTTTCTCCCTCTCTACATCAGAGTTCTTTGTTCACGCAGCCTCCTCCTCCTCTCAGCTGTGGGTGTCTTAAAGGAGACCAAGTGTATATTCTCCCAACTTGGTTTTTTCATCTGCAGTGTGAAAATAGTTATTCCTTCCTGCATGAGATTATTATACTAAAATGTTCTGGAAGCCATAGTAGTCACTGTTAGGAAAATATGGCAGTCCTTAGAAAAGACCTGAGGTAGCAGAATTGAGCCTAGAAGGCTGAACGTCTGAAAAGTTGAAAGACTAAAAACCTTAAGTTAAAGTCAGACTAAAGATTCAAACCTCAGTTCCTTCTTTTTGTTTTTGGTTGGCTGGTGGGTTTTGCTATAAGGCCCATGCATTCAATGGGGTGAGGGGATGGCCATGCAGCAATCCCTTCTCCAGTCTCCTCTGGAGACTTTGGGCATGCACTCACACGCCTCCAACGTGATTCTCAGTCCATCGGAACCATGAAGCCCGCCATGTGGGATCCAGTGCCTTAACCTCTGCCACCTGCTGGCCTGCTGGTCACCTTAGTCACCTTGCAGAGTCCCCGTTTTCCATCCATATGATGGGCATAATTATGCATGATTTGCTGGGTTATTGGGAAAATTAAAGATAGTGTATACAAAGTACCTAGTATAGTACCTGCTATATAGCAGAAAATTAACCAATGGAGCTATCAAGCACTCTAAGCCCTAACATTTTGTAATTTGGCATAAAGTGTGTGTGTGTGTGTGTCTCAGGGCTTTAGACACTGCCCTCTCATTCCCATCTATAATGATTTTGTTGTTGTTGTTCTATTGTTCATTTTTTGGTCAACAGACTGTTCTTTTAAATAGGTGAATTTTAAAGACTTCCAAACATTAATACTGGCTAATGCAACTAGATCTTCACATTGCAGTTTGAATGAGCATTGCTGTGTATGAGAAAGAGCAAGAGAGAGAGATCGGGTTTTAGCTACACATTTCTAAGAAAGCCCTGTGCACGCGTGTGCCAACCGCTCAGTTCCCCGTTACTCTCCGTATGGGTCAACATGCACTCTGCTCATCCCATAGGAGGGTCCTGACCATCTCCCAACAGACCAGGACAACAGGGTCTGGGCCACAGGACTGCAGGCACGGAGACTCTCAGGCGGATGTGTTGTTCCTTCCCTGGCCTCGTGACTGTCATTCTGCACAATATGTACAAAGTCAGCATCTAAAGATGTTCCCTGAGTCTGTGTTACCGTGTTCTCCCTGTCAGGTGGAAGCCACACAGGCAATTCAAAGACAAAGTATTTGGTGTGGGAGGGGGACGCTGGTAGTGCAGTGTGGTTAAGGCACTGGATTCCCACATGACTGACCATGGTTTGAGTCATGAACCCAGCAGTTTGACAAATCACGCCAGGCACTTGTGCATGCATGCCCAAAATCCCAAGAAGAGGATGAAGGAGAAGGATTGCTGCGTGGTCTTCCCCCCAGGGGATGATTTCTCACTTTCCCTCTCACTGTCTCTGTTTCTCTCTGGCACAACGAACGTGCCCTATGACGACAAACTAAAATTAAATAAATAGAGAGAGAAAGTACTTTTTAATTTGGTAAGTGTTCTTTGTCTTTTTTTTTTTTTCATTGTTTTTACCTTTCTGTTTGTTCAGAATTTTTAAAATTTTGAGTTTTATTCATCTGGTTCATTGCCTTTACTTTCAAACTGTGGAACTATTGATTGAGTCTAGATCCCTGCCAGGAAATAAAAGATTTGTAAAATTTACACAACAGGGCTTTAAAATGCTTTACTCAAACAAACAGATGATTACGGTTGACATGAGAATATATGGACATAATCAAAGCGAATTAATTTCCTTCATGTACTTCTAAATTTATAAGTGGGGTAGATTTTCCACATCTTTTGAAAGCAGTAACTATAGGATCCATGCTGAGACCGCTTATACTTGAGCCTGCCCTGTAACAAGATCTGCGGACTCAATAACCTAATCCCCTTGACGAGGGTCCAGTGCAGGCCTGGCGACCCTCACACTCGGCTCCACAGTGAAGTCCTCCAGCCATGACAGAGTGTGGTACAGGTGTGCCCTGCCTTATGAAAAGCCACATCACAATGTGATTATCTGCTCCATGCTATTTCATTAAATAATGAGTTCCCCTGGGACGTTTAAAATATGATTTGACTTACAAAAATTTGATTTACACTCACTTTTCCCAGAAACATACCTATTGAGGGAAAGCTCTATTTTTTTAAATGATGATGCATGTCCCATAGCAAATGTTTTATAAGCAGTCCATTTTCAAAGATTAAGACAAGAAAGCATACCACAGTTCTGGGATTGGGAAGGAAACTGTTTCTGTACAGAAAATCAATTGTCCACAGAAGGAACTGTAGGAACCGATCTATTGAGTTGTCTACTTTGAGAGTTCATGTAGATGTACCAGAGGCCTGACATATGATAGGATTTAGACTTCAAACGTTTTTAGAATATACAGTGCTCTTATACTGGATTTTAATAGCCAACTTGCAAGTCAACTCTATAAACACTCTTTAAACATACTTTTCAAAACTAGGGAAAGCCTGTAACCCCAGCTACTTGAAATGCTGAGGCAGGAGGATTTCAAGTTCAAGACCAGCCTGGGTGTCATAATGAAATCCCATCTTTAAAAACAACAATAACAAAACAAACAACCAAACTAACAACTGGGTAAATGTTTCTATTGTGTAAAGAAAGAATTTTTAGATTGGTCTGGGCTTATACTCATTTAGGAGTAACAATATATGAACAAAAATATCACCATCCAACTCATGTCTAGCTGTTCACTCAGCTGTGCGGCATCAAACTGAAACTCTGAGATTGGATACGCTGGGCATCAGGACGCTTGGAGTTCTTAGGGGCCCGAGGAGACACTTCACTTACGGGTGCGGTGGAAGCGCCAGTGCAGAGAAGACATGCCATGAGCCATATTTGGATGCAGCTGTTTCTACTGTGTTTTGCTGAGCTTTTCACGTTTGTGTCCCAAATCTCTACAGAACGACTACTGAAGTCCAGGAAAGGTGAGGGGAGACGGAGGACAGGGGATGCTGATTAATGGGGGAAAGTTACAGATAGATTAAAAAAGGAATAATGTCTAAAAAAAATACAGTAGAGTAAATATAGTTAATAACAATTTACCGTCTATCTCAGAGAAACTAACATATAGGATTTTGAGTGTTCCCAATATAAAGTGTTCCCAGTGTAAAGTAATGGTCAGTGGCTGACATGACAGTCCATGATCTGACCAAAAACCATTGTATTCTTACACTGAAAAATTATGTTGTACCTCACAGATACATACAGCTATTATATGTCAATAAGAATAAAAATAATAATAAAAACATCATGTAGGAATCGTCATCAAACCAAAGGGTCCTCGTGAGCACCCCAGAGTGGGAGCATGCAGACATGGCCCATTGGCTCCGTGACTCCAGAAACTGCCTTTTCTTGCCCACCCTGTTACACAGAACGGCCTGCTCTGTCTTCCTAAGGCACAGTTCTGATGGAAATCATTCTCCTACTCAGAACCTTCATGATCCCTCAGCTACTTTGAAGATAAAACCACAAAATTTGCCTTTTATTCAAGGGTGTTCCACACAGAGAGAGCAGTAGTGAGGTGGTAAACAGATGGTATGCCCCAGAAACATCAGAATCTCAGTTTGTCTGGGTTATAAGATTCAAGAAGGGACTTTATGGGAAACAGGGTTGGAAAGACAGGTCGGGCACACAGCATGGGAGACTTTCGATGAAAGGCAAAAAGTGGGGGCTTTCTCTTGAAGATAATTGAGAGACCTTGAACATCTGACAGGGGGATGACACCAGAATTGTGCTTTGGGAACATTACGCAGGCAGTGGTGTGTAGAGTAGGTCGTACTTGCTCTTCACATGCCCAGGCTACCCATCTTTTGACATTCAATGCAAACATTACTTCCGTCAGCAAACTGTTAATAAGGTTCTTTCAACTGAAAAAAAGAATGAAAAACTCTCCCCATCACCACCAAACATTACTTCCGTCAGCAAACTGTTAATATGGTTCTTTCAGCTGGAAAAAAAAAAAGAAAGAAAAAGAAAACTCTCCCCATCACCAATCTCGCATGGCATCTCTGCCTTACCTGTTGTTTTCTGTCTGTATTGCTGCTTTCAAATAAATTTACAGAATGCTTAGCTATGGCCTTTTTAGATACTGCTTTTCTTCAGCCTCCCGGTTCTTGTTCTCTGGGTAGACAGACGTTAGATCTTCTCACTCTGACTGTCCTAGCCTTTCTCGTACATCCCATCTCTTCATTATCTGCCTGTGCTTCCTTCTGAATCATTTCCTCAGATCACCTCACCTTCTCTTGCCATCAAAATCATATTCAGCCTTCAAACGTCATCACAGACTCGGCCTTCTCCATGTTTCCCATGACGATGATAATAATTATGAACAACAAAAATTATGAATGATTATCTTACATTAAGCACTACACTGGCATTTTGCATAGGTTACCTGATTTTTCTAAATAACTCCATGACAGTTTTTACATTTTTGATTTTTTTTTTTGAGAGATTTTCACTGTAGGGCGCGTGCGCTCGCCAGACAGAGACAGACATAGAGACAGAAAGCGAGAAATCACCCCCCAGGGGGGATGGTCATGCCGCAATCCCTTCTCCTCCATTCTCCTCTCGGGATCTTGGGCACGCACGCACACGTGCCCAGCGTGAGTTTTAAGCCACCGGGTCCGGGACACGAACCGCGGTCGACTACGTGGGAGTCCAGCGACATAGCCATTACGCTAACTGCTGGTTCCCATTTTTGATTTTTTGAAATGCCCTAGCTAGTGGTTAAGCAACAGTCTCAGACCTGGTGGCTTACTTTCTCACTTTCCCTCTCTTGTGCTCTCTCTTTCTCTCTGGTCAATTTTTTTTAAAGTGCTGATAACAAATAAAATTAAGTAATTTTAAAAATAAATGAAGGAAAGCTATAGGTAAGTAAGTTTCAAATAGGTCTAGTAACTTCTGTTTTTAATTTTATGCTAGTGTACCTGTATTGACAACATTGAGCATTGGGGGGGGAATGCGTTGTTATTTTTCTAATAAACTAGTCCTGAAAATGTGTAAGAGGAGAGAGAGGTGTTTGCGAACAGTCAGTCTGTGGTTCCTACAAGTATTCAAGTCGTGTCCATAGAATTCAAGTATTTAATTACCGATGTAAATGAGGGTGAAATCGCATTTGCTTCAGTTAGAATTGAAACTATTTCAGAAAAAAGGTGCATATGGGGGCCAGCAGGTGTTGTGGTGGTTAAGGTGCTGGACACTCCCGCATAGCCAACCACAGTTCGAGTCCTGGACCTGGTGGCTTGCTTTCTCACTCTGCCTAGCCCCGTGTCTCTCTCTGGTCAGATTAAAAAATAAGTAAATGAATAAATAAATAATTATTTTAAAAAGAAAAGTGTGTGTGTGTGTGTGTGTGTGTATATATATATATATATATATATATATACATCACATATATAGAAACACATGTGTCTTCATTTTATTTACTCATTGTTATGTATGAGATCCACTGATAGAGAACAGTATAAATTGTTGCCTGCCTTCAAGGAATTTATAGTTTATTTGAAGTAAGTGTGAAGGCAGCAAATTAATATCACTTAAGTTGGAATAATGTTCTTAATAAGCACTATCAGTTATATTTTATTTAATTTTACTTATTCATTCATTTATTATTAATTTGACCAGAGAGAGACAGAGAGAGAGGGAAAGTAAGAAACCAAGCTGCCAGGTCTGGGACTCAAACCATAGTTGGCCATGCGGGAGTGTCCAGTACCTTAACCACCACACCACCTGCTGGTCCCCACTATTAGTTATATTAAAAACAATGACCAACTAATTAAATATGACATACTCAAAGAGCATTACTTTCATTTACAGCTTTAACGTTAATATTCATAATGTTAAGTACTAAAAGTTTTAATACTGATAATAAAAGGTTTTAACTATTAAAAGTAAATCTTCAATTTATTTTTTGTACTTCATATTCATCTTTTAAAACTTTATTTTAGGGACCAGCAGTTAGCGTAATGGCTATGTTGCTGGACTCCCTCATAGTCGACCACGGTTCCAGTCCCATATCCGTGGCTTAAACTCACACCGGGCGCATGTGCATACGTGCCCAAGATCCTGAGAGGAGAATGGAAGAGAAGGGATTGCGGCGTGGCTATCCCCCCTGGGGGGTGATTTCTCTCGCTTTCTGTCTGTCTCTCTCTGTCTGTCTGGCGAGCGCACGCGCCCTATAGCGAAAACCTCTCCAAAAAAAGAAAAAAAAACTTTATTTTGGAGGATATTTTGTAAGAGATATATGTTACTATAATACACATTTGTAATTTATAAATATATATTTTGGAAATGCATACAAAACTATTTTACTGCTTAAGATGTGTGATCAGGGACCAGCAGATGATGTAATGGCTAAATTGCTGGACTCCCACATAGTTGACCATAGTTTGAGTCCCAGACCTGGCAGTTTAAAACTCATGCCAGGTTCATGTGCACGTGTGCCCAAAATCCTGACAGGAGAACACAGAAAGGATTGTGGCATAGCCATTGCCCCTGGGGGGTGATTTCTTGCTTTCTGTCTCTCTGGTGAGCACACACACATCCTATAGAAAAAAATCTCTCTCAAAGCAAAACAAAACAAGATGCATGATCACAATGTTTAGAAACCAAGTCAACCTAGGTGGCCTCGTCTGTAGCACATTGAACTCCAGTGCTGGAAGCCACGTGGAGGACTGTGGATTCTGATCCCTGGGTTGGCCTGAAATCCTGCAAGACACTCACACAGACACTTAAGATCTGAATGAGCTGGAGGATTGGGAAAAGGAGAATGTGGTGTGATGAGACCCTGTCAAGGGTTCTCTCTCTCTCTCTCTCATGTTCATGCACATACTATCGTAAAAAATCAAAAGTTTAGAAACTACTGCTGTGAATTCATCTAATCAAATAGCTTGCTAAATTTTGGATGGCAGAAATCTTTCTTCAAAGAAAGCCCCAATACCTAAAACAAACAATGTGCTTCGGTTGAGTCTCTCATCTCCCTTCCTAACCAGTCTGGAGGAGCACTGTTTGCAGACCACTCTCATTTTACCAATTCAGAAACCAACGTCCAGAAAGGAAATGACTTGGCCAAACGTTATGTGACGACTCACCTGAGCGCAATCTATATTTCTTACATCTTTTGTTAACCAAAGTCTTTCCACAATAGTATATGATTTCATTCAAATGCTAGATTTGACAAGTTCCAGTGATGTTTTCTTTTTTATTTTTGTTTTTCTGCCAGAGGGTCCACATGCTCACCAGAGAGAGAAAGAGAGAAAAGAGAAAGTGAGAAAGTACCCTTTATGGAGAATGGTCATGCCACAATTCCTTCCCCTTCATTTCTCCCTCTTGGGAATTTGGGCATGCATGCACCTGTGCCCAGACTCAAACTGCCCAGTCAGCCATGGGGGATCCAGCTGCCTTAACCATCACACCACGAGCTGCCCTCTAGCGATGATTTCTATTGTGTTTCCTCTGCATTTCTGAGAAGCTGGGAGATGTTTGCAAATCTCCGATGCTTGGGTATATCTGAGAAGCTGGGAGAAAATGTTGGAGAATCCCTACCTGTCACCCCTCCCTCGGCATTTCCAAACAAAACTATTTGTATAAAAAAATAAAATAAAAACCTTTTTAAAATGAATTCACTGTCCATTTTATCCCTGTTCTCTTGCCTATTGGCTTTTGGCAAGAGAATCTGGATTGGAAGCCCAGCCAAACACTTTCATCAGATCTAATCATAATCACACTGTCATCTGATAGAAATGTTGCATCCCTAAACCTCTGGTTTCTTGTTCACACATGTGGACTCTAACCAGCAAAGGAATAAGCTGTAGTGACTACAAGCAAACATCTCCGCACTTGTCGGAGATTGATGACAGTGGTAATAAAAACAGTCTTTTCCATGACGACCACTGCCAGTAAGTCAACAGTTAAAAAGGGATAGTTTTAAGAGTAACCAATGCATTAGCTCTTGTCAATAAGATTCTTTCTGGCAGTAATATATTCTGGGGATTAAGTTAAACCAAATGTCTGTAACAATGGAAATGCGTTCGTGTTCACAGTTAGGCTTATTGTCCCAGTGCATATTTACCATAGTTACATTCAAATTTACCACTTCGGACATTGTTTGATCATCTTCCTCTCTTTTTGATAAATTCCATTTTAGATTAAAGCCAATAGAAAACATCCTCTAACATGATTAAAGTCTTGTGATTTATTCTCTTTTGAAATGTTTAGCCCCTGCTGCCTACACAAGGATGGCAGGGAGGAGTAAAAACTCTGCCTGAGAAAGTTCTGTAAGTTCTTTGGCCACATTTGACGTCACTTGATGTCATAAATTTCAGATCCAGCCATGCCTGAACATGACATGGCATTTTTTCTTGATTGATTACCCTTTGATTTTTGCATGTTTCCTGCCACTTAGTTACCTTGCAGTCATGCAGGTACGACGCCCACGTTGGCTCGGTGACCTGGGATCTTGTCTCTCTGGTGTCTGTACCTGGAGAGCATGCCGAAAGGCCCATCCATGTACGAACTCCCACGACACAAGCCTTCTGCTAGCTCCTGGGTGACCTCGGCAATTCCTGGTTGCAGAATACAACAAGACTAGGAATTAGTGTTGTGTTTCACAAATGTACTTCAGTATTTATAGGACTGTATTCTGCAACTGTTCTATTTTTTTTTAAGAGCAATTTTTGCTGTAGGGCATGTGTGATTGACAGAGAGACAGAGAAAGAGAGAAACCACCCCCTGGGGATGACCACACCAAAATCCCTTCTCTTCCATTCTCCTCTCGAGATTTTGGGCATGCATGGTGAGAGGTTCGAGCCTCCAAGTTCAGGACTCAAACCATGGTTGGCCATGTGCAAGTCCAGTGACTTAACCACCTGCTAGCTCCCCATAATTGTTCTGATACTACATTTTTATTGATTTGTATAAAGACAAATTTTATTTAGCTTTATTTATTTGTTTATTTTTTAATTTTATTTTGGAGAGGTTTTTGTTATAGGGGCGTGTTGCCAGAAAGACATAGAGACAGAAAGTGAGAAATCACCCCCCCAGGGGGGATGGCCACACCACAATCCCTTCTCCTCTCAGGATCTTAGGCACGCACACACATGCGCCCGGCATGAGTTTAAGCCACCAGGTCCAGGACCAAACTGTGGCCGACTATATGGGAGTCCAGTGACATAGCCATTATGCCAACTGCTGGTCCCAAGCATTATTATTTTTTTAAAGATATATTTATTTATTTAATTCTATTTGTTATTATTATTTTTAATTTGACCAGAGAGAGAGAGAGAAAGGGAAAGCAAGAAGACAAGCTGTCAGTTCTGGAACTCAAACCATGGTCAGCTATGTGGGAATCCAGTGCCTTTAACCACCATACCACCTGCTGGCCCCAGCATTATTATCTTTTAATTTGCTATAGGGTACATGAGCTTACCAAAGAGAGGGAGAGAAAGTGAGAAAGCAAGCCACCAGGTCCAAGATTTGAACCACAGTCAGTCATATGGAAGTCCAATGTCCCAATCATCATGCCACACACTGGCCCCAAGAAAAATCTCTTGTTATCAGACCATAGCGATACCTTATCATGAGTACAAGGGGATAATAGAGAATTTGCACTTTGGACTGTTTTGCTATTGTTTTCTTTCACCACTTTTGGCTACATACACACAAGGGTGACATTTACTCCTTGGCAGTGAAGAGGAGAAGGGCTTTACAAATGGCTTTGGAGCACCTACAACCATCTCAGAGCCTTACCACACTAGCAAGCTTGTCCTTCACTCTCCCAGGCCGGGATACCGCAGCAAGCGCAGAGAACCCCAGGAGGAACAGCGGGAATGTAAGAGGTGTTCTTATCAGTTCACGTCTACTAGAGTTTCATTCAGATTTACCCTGGTGGACACTTTGTGAGAGGAAACTCTTGTTCATCCCAGATCATTACCAGGCCACCATATAACCACCGGGTGCACAAGAAAGCAGTGGCCCCACATCTTCCAGCCAACCACTGGTCTTCACATTACATGATGGCTGTTAACCATGTTGTGCCTATAACGACCTGTGAAACTCTAATTTAGAACTGCTGAATTTCTGGGCCAGCAGGTGGCATGGTGGTTCAGGCACTGAATTCCCACATGGTCACTGCACTTCGAGTGCTGGATCCAGGGGCTTGAAAATCATGCTGGGTGCATGTGTGCGCACGCCCCGATCCCAGGACGAGAATGGAGGAGAAGGGATTGTGGCATGGCCATCCACTCTGGGGGAGATTTCTCACTTTCCCTCTCTGTCTTTCTGTCTCTCTCCTGAGAGCACATGCATCCTATGGCAAAAACCTAACAGAAAAAAAATATTGCCAAGGTTCCAATCAAAACCCACTAAATCAGACTCTTTGAGAGTGAGGCACACACATCCCGGTGTTAACAGTTCCCCAGAGTATTGTACTTTCTTACTCAAGCATGCATTCTCCAAAAGTCTTTGATGTCATAAGGGTCCTGATCCACTGGCCTTTGTTTTTTCACCATTCATCATTCCCTAACATCCATGTGCCCAGATTCTGAGAGAAAAAAAAAAAAATCCTAACTCTTTCCTACTCCTGTCTGATCTAGCCCTACCCCACTCCTCAGTCCTCATCTCGGGACTAGCAGATTGGTGTAATGGTTACGTCGCTGGACTCCCACATGGTCGACCACAGGTCAATTCCCAGACCAGTGGCTTAAAACTCATGCTGCACACATGTGCTTGTGTTCCCAGGATCCCGAGAGGAGAATGGAGAAGGGATTTCAGCGTGGCCATCCCCCGGGAGGTGATTTCTTACTTTCTGTCTTGTCTCTCTCTGTCTCTCCACCAAGTGCATGTACCCTATAGCAAAAATCTCTCTAAAAACAAAGCAGAACCTCATCTCAGGTCACTCTTCCCATTTATTTCCATCTTTGCTCCAATATAGACGGCCTTCGTATGTTGCAAAATCGCTCTGTATGTCAGAATATCCCAAAGCCTTTTCTTCTGCTTGGTCTGATGAAAATACTTGCCTCTCAGACTATCATTAGCCCGCTCCTTCTTCCCTCAGCTCCAAAGCCACTTCCTCTCACTGACCATTCTAAAGGAGCCAGCATCCAACCCATCACTTTGTTACATTACTCAGTTTTCATTGTGGAACTTGTTCAAGAAATGAAGTGATTTTTAGCTGACATTACAAGAGTAGGTAAATCTACATTATGTGTGTGTGTGTTTGCCATAGGGAGTGTGAGCTCACCAGAGAGAGGCAGAGAGAGGGAAAGTAAGAAATTACCCCCCCCAGGGGAATGACAATGCCACAATCCCTTCTCTTCCATCCTCTTCTCAGGACTTTGGACACACACGCACATGTTCCCAGTGTGGTATTCGAGCTACCAGGTCCGGGACTCAAGCAGAAGTCAGTCATGTGAGAATCCAACACCTTAACCACCAAGCCACCTGATGGCCCTGGTAAAGCTATTTTAAAGATGTCCTCCAGGATTGTATAACCAGCCTATAATGCAGCTGCTAAGAGCTGTATGGAGGCTGTTGGATCCCTCATGGCCACCTGTGGTTCAAATTCCAGCCCCTGCAGCTTGAAAACCACATCAGGTGTATGTGCCTGCATGCCCCAAATTCTGACAAGATAGAGAAGTGGAGGAAAAAGGATCGTGGCGTGGTCACACATCATTGGAAGATTCTCTCTCTCTCTCTCTCTCTCTCTCTCTCTCTCTCGTGTCATGTGCCCTTTGACAATAAAGGGGGGAAAAGATAACCTCCAGGGATTAGTGTGGTAAGGAAAGCCTTTGGGTGAAATGAACTCTGAGGAAGTCTGAAAACACCACCTCATTGGTGAGGACAGTTCGAATTGCACAGGTTGGTATTATTGGCTTTCTCAGATGTCCTTTGGAGAGATTTGAATTTTGGTGAATATCACCGCTACATATTTTCACTCTAGTTCTCACATCCATCCAAGGTCTTTGACTAAGTCCCAAGGCTCAGAGATTATTAAATTATAAACTTGACGTCCCTCTATCTCAGCAAGAAGCACCAACTGAGAGGACTCCGTTCTTCTCTTTGACAAAGTTGACTAGAATGTCTTTACTGATGGCCTAAGGAATGATCTGGTTCTTACCTCTCCTAGTATAAAATCCCTCCTTTGGTTAATTTAAGAAGTAATTATTTTTTCCACTTACTTTCCCCCTAATAAAAGGATGTTGCCTTGTTTTGACTGATAACACCACTTTCACTTTCAGAAGCTAATTGTGAAAGCCCCATTTTTAACTCTTTGATGCCACTGATGAATGAGAACTGTACCTGAGTAATTTTCCTTTACCACTAATAGGCGTCAAACAGCACATGTCCTACAGAATGAAGCTCTCTCCCCTGCTATAATAATAGCTGTTTTGTTTTGACTTCAGAAATTCTGGAATCAGTGTTCAGGCAACAGTAATTACTGCTCATTACAATAATCATCACCATCAGCTCGATCGGTCTCTTGGGACACAAGTCAGGACTAAGGAAATGCATTTTTGTCTAGAATGATGAAGAATTTTACCTGAGGCCCAGGCAGTCTCTCTGGGAGCCAAATTTGATGACTGATACTGACAGCTGTTAATATATTGAATTCCTGAGTCAGAATTTTTGTTTTAAGTGTTTTCTGAGTAAAACCATATTCAAAAGAGCTTGAAATTGTTGAAAAGTCTTTACAGGCCCAATGCGTGAAATACAAATGAGAGCGAATGTGGATAAATGGTTAGAGGTTTATCAAGAAAGGAAGATAATATCAGCAGCAACCCATATTACAGAGATGCGAAGACCAAAGTCTGCCTCCTGGTTGGGGAATGACACATCATAGAATGGCTGGGGCGGGGGGAGTATGCCAAAATGAAAGCAGAAACTCGAGGCTCACAGAATGGAGACATAGGGCCAGCTGGTGGAGTGGTAGTTAAGGCAGCTGGGTCTCACATGGCCGACAGCATGGTTCGAGTCCTAGACCCAGTGACTTACAGGCCCAAAATCCCAAGAGGAGAATGGAGAAGAAGGAATCGCAACATGACCAACCCCCTGGCGGAAGATTTGTCACTTTCTTTCTCTATTTTTCTCCCTCTCTCTGTTTCTCTTTGGTGGCACATGTGCCCTATAACAAACTAAAAGAAAAGAAAAAAACATATAGATCATAAAAGCTCTGGATCAAAATGGATCTAAGGCTTGAACCCCAATTTTTAGCATTAGAATGAACCTTACTATGTGCCAAGCTTTGGGTACATTTGGGATTCAGAAGTAAGGCTCTAAGCTCTGTGCTTAGTGAGGTCACAGTCTCGAGCTGGACTAAGTATCAGAATGCCATCCTGTCTGACTGACATTCAGCTATATCCAAATAAAAAAAACACAGTCACAGTGGCTAAACTAAATAGGGTTATATTATTCCCAAAGGTTAGGTCCAGAGGTGAGAAATCAGAACCATCCAGTCTCTGGCTCCAAACATCTCTGTGCTCCGCTGTCACTCATACGATCTTCCTCCCCGAGCTTGGCACTCTCTGCAGCCAGGCAGCTGCTCCGCCTCTGCCTTGTGCCTTCCTCC